GGATGGTTCATTTAAATGTTTGCTCTGCCTATATGAACATAACGTAGGCTATATGTTGAAATAGGAACTGTCAAAAACACGCTTGTCATTGGTTTCAGCACTATGCACACATAAATGTCTTCAAAATATACCCTGAGATTTTTTGCAACCTAAAATACTACAGCTAAATCTTTTTTTGGGTGAATCACAACTGATTATGCGTAATAATAAAAACAAAATGTGTTTGTGAGAGTTAAGGCCCCTACACATAGAGGGCTCCTGACTGACACGGACAGACAGGCAGAGACACGATCAGACACACAGCCGTGGATACCGAAATGCACGAAGTTAACAATACTGAGATTTAACCTAACCTAATTGTGAGAAAGCACTCTTAGGCTAAATATACAAGAATGTGTGTGCGCGCATGGGAAAAATGGAGAGATGAAACGGCGATATAAATCATGACCGGTTTACTACATCCCAGCGTTTGTGTCACACCTTTTCCTGTAAAATAGCCTGGCTTTCCCAAGTCGAACTACAGATCATAACAATGGCCACCCATCAGCGACCATCAGACCAGCCAACAACAAAACAACATGGTAATAGAGCAACACTTACCTTCGATAAATTTATTTTTTGGCATAGATCAAAATCTCTGGTTTCAATGTTTCAATAAAGATACCGTTGTGAAAGCGGACGCTCCTGTGTACCGCTTGTGTTGAGTAAGCAAATCCAGGTGTGAAAGTGTTTGCACACCCCGACACCTCTTATATATTGCCTGCAAAATTAGCCGTTATTACTGTCACTGTTTAGTGATGGTGAGCCAGGGAAAAAACCTTCTGCAATCAAGAACCAGGCGCATCTTTGCAAATTATAGATAATTGTAAATGTCCAGATTATGATAATGGAGCTAATCCTGGTGGAAGTATAATTATTGTTGAGTGTTACAGTTGAGGGTGTCCAGTAAAGCTAACTGATATTATTTATACACGGTTTGCAGTGAAATCGTTGAGTGGAAAATGTTCAGTTGGAATTTAACAAGGCTCTCGATATAATGGCATGGGATATAGCGGGTTTGTGTATTTGAAATAGAAAGAGAGACAAAGTTGGAGTTGCTGGTGTGTGTGTGTGTTTTGAGCGTGAACGCAACGTCTGCGTGCGTAAGCGAGTGTGTGGGGAGGGGTGCGAGGGATATAAACAAAATGCATAAGCCTATTAGTACATACTACGTTATTCTCATAATCGTGTCATGGCTTTCTATTGGGTATATTCGTCACGTCGACTTGGTGTTTATCTAGGCTTTCAAATAAAACCATAAACAATAGGCCTATAGCGTGTGTAGCGATTTACTTTTTGTTCTATAGTTATGGTAACCATTATTTTTGTGTTCAAAACATGGCAAATACCAATTCTGTTAGTGTTATGGGGGAAAAGTCAGTCTCCAGTCTTTTTTTTTTTTTTTACGAATGAACTTAAGCTTGTGTATTTTGAACACTGAAACTGAAGATTTGTGAGGAAATATTGCCAGTCGACTATGCGCTGGACTGATTTTGTATTATTTTGGTTATAGGCCTGCAATATATTATCAACTCCATAGTCAACAAAGAAAATGCCAAATTAAGCCATGCCCTGGTAGTCCTTTTCACGATTTATCGTGGCATTCAGCTGTAGAAATGTTAGCACTGGTTTTAATTAGATGCTCAGCATTTTTCCAGGAGGAGGATCTGTCAGGGTTGGGTTGTGGTCTCTGGAGCCGGTTTGCCCCCACAGGCATGCGGACTGTCTCAGATCTCCGCGCCGTCCCTTCGCCTCCTCACTACAATTCAAAGCTACTAATTGTAAGGAACACAAAGACAGCAAGGAAGAGCACACTGTTTGCCAGACCAAATTTTTCGTTCGTCAGGGGTGGTTTTAATCAAGATAAAGATAAAATATTCAGTTTTACTAACGTAAAAACATCTAACATTTATTTGGAATTAGCTAATAGATTAATAATTATAATAATAATAATAATAATAACCAAATACACTCAGTTAAAATGTTACGTTTTCATTTAATTAACTGAAGACCAAATCCGAAGCAAATGCTTTTTTTTTATGAGTCTGTATAAAAATGTTATCTATTTCTTCGCCATTAAATAGTGACCCTGAACAAACGATCCCAAAATGTTAATACAATATCATGGTTTTCTCAAATTCCATTTAGCAATTTTTTTTAGGCCTACAGAGTAAAAAACAGCATATCACAAAGGCTCTAAAGCCAAAGAAAGTGCTCGGTGCATTGATCTGTTTTGAGTTGCAAGTTAACTTAAAGAAGACAAAATGTTTGATAATTAAAGAAAAGCACACATTTATTTGGGGTTGTCCTTAATGTTTTGGCACATCGTCGGATGTACGCGTTGAGGTCAAAATTCAAGGCACCATTCAGAATGTTTGGGTCCATTGTCCATTTAAAACATTTAATAATTCTTCCAAATGCAATAAATTACATGCACACAATTTACACATTATACACGTTCTTCTAGGTAATTTCTTAAATCTTTACGTATTTTACAAGCTCTTATTTCTATGTAATCTATCTTTTTAATGCATGCAGTGTTTTGCATAGGCTATGTATAAATAAAACACAGTAAATCGTTAAAGAACACATTTCGAATTAGATGCAATGCTGCAACAGCTTAAACTTTTGTCCAACTCAGTTACAAAATTCAAACCTTATAATAAGAAACGACTGTAATACCCTGGTTTTACAATATGTTCAACAATAATGCTCAACCATGATCATGTTTATTGTGTATAATACATAGTAGTAGTAATAATAATAATATTAATAAATAATTGAATATATTATAGGCTATAATAACTGACCTTGCGGGCTCGGTTGTGACTGCACCCTATTATATGTTCCGGCATATTGGTGATATGCTGTGGAGTAGGAGCCGTAATCAGGGTAGGATTTTGTAGGGTAATTTCCAGAAGATCCATTGACTCCTTGGTATTGGTACTGATAGGCATTAAGAGGTTTCCCATACGTGCCCGAGTTCGGTGAACAATAGCCATGATGAACTCCTCCAGCAGGGCTGTAATAGCCAGAATCCGTGGCTGTCGACTCCGGCAGGGTTGGAGATTCCTGAGATGGATGATGCATCGCGGAGAGCTGAAAAGGGTTTTGAAAATCTGCAGGTTTAATACTCGGAATCCTTCTGTCGAATACTCCAGTCATAGTTTGGATAAGACAACGTAAAAAGGCAGTCTAACTCTATAGGGGTCCACAGAGTCTACACTAACATTGTGTGTGCAAGCGTCAAGCGTCTCTCTTGAAGACTGCTTTAAGCCCCGCAGCAAAGACTTGGTTAAATCCTAAATTGCGCTGTTACGCACTGTAGGGAGGATCTAGTGCCATTGGCCAAGGAGCGCAGCAGACGGCAGTTACTCCCCAACTCGTTCAACCAGTTTCAGAAGAACAAAAAAAAAACTTAATAAAGGTATTTATGGTATGTTTACAAACAAATTGAACGGGAAATAGATTATTATTTGATATAAATCACTCACTGAACGAAAAGAAGACGGCTGCTGATCTATTCCATGTAAATCTACCTCTCAGCATGCAACAGAAATGTCTGATTCCTTAAATATGTTACTTTAATGGCAGATACAATTACATATCCAGATATGATTTTTTTTTAGTTATATAGCCTACTCTCAGACGTTCTGCGGATTAAACAGTTTTTTGTTTTTATATAGGCTAATCTGTCTAAATCTCAGATTTCTGTTGTGTCTGCGCTAATCTACATATTAATTTGCATAAACGTAACCAGAAAAAGCGCACTTTTTCAGATTACAATAATTTATCATTCAACACTAAATCAAATCATATGAGTAAATGTCCATCTCTGTCAGTAGCGGGTGCTTGAGGACAATTTATGGCAGCAATGCATATAAAGGCCTACTTACAGCACTTTAGTGTGACTGCTTTTATAATGACACAAACCTTGATATGTACCATATAATTTAACGACTCAAAATTTTTCTAGTTTGTACTATTATTGTTCCTTAAATGTTAATGAAAAGTCGTCCAGCAAGCGTTCAGTGAGGTAGTCAGCAAAAGTGGTGAAATGGTGCCACCAAGTGGAGATAAATCATGGTAACTCGTGGTAGTTCAAGTTTCTTTACATCTGTTATCCATTTTCGAAAAAGACAATACATGGCCACTGTAACAGTGCATCAATGCAGGTGTTGACTAGTCATAAATGATGAGGAAAAATGTAAAAAAAAACTGGCAGTCTAGTAATAAATCAAGGTTAGTGGTTAGGTTAACTTTTAATACCCAATAGGTTTGACTGATCACACGATTAAAATATGAGTACAATCTAATTAATTATTCTGGCCAAAAAACAAAACAAAAAAAATGATGAACAAAAACAGTGTATGGTACAACCAAAAGCAAATTAATCAAGTTAATAACTACAATTTACACATTCACTGGTGTAAAGCAAATGTTTCCAAACTCAATATGTCTCCATAGTTAATAGAGTATATTTTATATTATATAAGGTATATTTTAATAAGAATATTTAAAATATTATTTAAATGCTTAATCAAATGATAAAAACCCACCCTCAGGGTCAGAAAAAAATGACTAATTTTGTGCCATTGTTTTGTGAAACAAATTTCCCATATTTAAAATGTGGGAGGGGAGCAAAAAAAAAAAGTTTCTTAGTCCAGCTTTATTAATAAAAGATGATTAATTAATACATGCAGAAATGACATTGTGTGATACAACAGAATAACACAACTGCGAGAAATAACTAAAATAAAAATATATAAAATAAATATAACAAAATAAATATATTCTAAACCTTTTTCATTAATATAGGCCTCTAAATTATTTTTTAAATATCCTCTAAACAAAGCCGGAAATGACGTATCATGACCGCCAGCGTTATTTAGACGTTGTTAAATTCAATTTAATGAATGTTTTGTTACTGCTCTTGGTCATTTTGAATAAATACTTTAAATAAAGCATAAGGCGCCGCTGAGATACCTCACACATATGTTAGTGTCTGCTTCCTTGAGCTGTGAACCAGTGAGAGTGTCGGGTAAATAGGCGCTCGTGCTGTGAAGGGGGGATGGGATGGGGCCACTCAGAGCTCTCGTGCTCCACTAACTCAGCGCGCTCATTAATCCTAGTTTTCTCCTTTATATCGATCCTGTTTTAAATTAAAATTCATCTTTCCCGTTACCGCATGTGTTACGTGGCACCAGAAAAGCAAGAAGTATCGGTCTGCGGTTGAATTTTGGTGCAGAAAGCGTTTAAAATGTATCCCATTGGAGCAGCTAGTGGTGAGTATTATTATGATCAGCGAGCGTGCTAGCGACGAAATGCTAACTGAATAAGTGTGGCGTTTTTGATAAAGATAAAAATGTAGTTTAATGGCGTTCGGCTGTACATGACATAAATGTTCAAATAATGTTTTAGATTATAGTTCTGAAGTGTTTTTGTTTTTCCATCTCTGTCGATGGTTTGTTTTGTAGGCCCACTGTTATTGTTAGCCTGCTAGCTAAGCTTGTTGACCTGCTGGCTTTTGAATTTACAGCGGCTGGTTAAACTCCTATCCACGTCAATTTTAAAATGTTAACATGACGTACTTTCTAACTATTTTAGGTCTGGAGATATTAGCGTAGGTTAGAGTTTTCGGTCTAATTGTTTTATGTGAGTTTTTTTTAAATATGTTTTAACGTTGGTAGTTAGGCACCAGTTTGACTTTCTCCAGCTAGCCAGGTAACTTACTAAAAGTTACTAACTAACGTTCTAGTTAATAAATTGTTAATTGTTCTGCTTCCAAATTTTGCACGATTTGTAACTTTTTGTTATGTATTTTTGCACAGTCGCGATGCTCAGCTAAAGTTGACTGTGTCTATCTAAATTACGAATACAAAATTATTATTGGCGTTTATGAGAGGTAGTTTTAGTGTATTATGCATCTTCATTACATTTCAGTAAGAAGTATTGAAATTCCAAAAGACGCATTTCACACATTTTAAGAAGCAGTAAAACTACAGAACTTTTTATTCAAGTCATAAACTTAGTTGGTAACACTTTACAAGAAAGTTTTACTGCATTAGTATACATGAACTAAAAATGAACACTGCTTTTACAACACGTTGTTACTTTCAACGTGCTAATAACAATTGTTTTATTAACACACATTATTAAATGCTGTAAGTCAAGAAATATAATTGTTAGATTGTTAGCCAATGCTTTAATGTTAACAAATGGGACCCTACTGTAAAGTGTTGACACTTTGGTTTCATAAAGTGATGAGTGTTGTATTATATGCTTTAGAGCCCTGTTATGTATTTGTGGGGCTTCTGAAATAGTGATATAAAGAAAAGCAGTTGCTGTAGTTCAATGAAAAGACATCCTGGTACTTGTGTGTGTGTGTGGGAGAGTTTGGCAGGTTGTTGAGTTGCTTGTGTGGTGTTGGTGATAAGGAGGTAAAAGGCCTGTTGACCAGTGGGATGGGTTCACGTCCCTAGTATCTTCCTGCCGTGTTGTGTTTTTAGGGTTGATAAGATGGGGTTAGACAGTTCAAGGGATCTGTCAGCAAAAGACTTCAGATACCCACAGGCTCCTTGTACATCAAAGTTTTTCACACGTTTAACAAGATTGCATTAACTTGACCTTTTTTTCCCAAATCAACAAACCCTGTGACCCAATTTTATTGTATGCTAGACATTTGTAAACGACTAAATCTCATGGATATTAATGACTAAAATCAACTGCTTTATTGTGATCTTCTAATCAAAGTGTAATTTTACAGTGCTAATCTGGCTTTGAACTAGAAACCTGTTTTCAATTTAACTGGCTGTATTTTCATGGTTTTACATATATTTCTGCACATGATCACTAATGTAGAGGTTTGTTTGAAATAAACCTTGCATTATGTCTTTTATAGCTGCTGAGCTGTGTCAGGAACATCAGTCTTCAGGGTCAGATGTTTCTGGTAAGCAGCCCAGACTAAGCTGGCCTGTCGACAGCCTAGCATATATTTTCAGTACTGTTTATCAAGTTGATTGAAATGTTTAATTAAAGCTTTAATCCCAAGGAATGATTGTCTTTCAATTTAATTTACTGTTAAGAGCTTCGTTTTAACACACTGTTTCTCTAAAACATTCAGTATTGTATAGTGTTTTTCATTTTTTGCCTGCTGATTGGGTCAGTACAGTAGTAGATAAAGTTTATTACTTAAACAGTATCACATTGTAAAAAATCCAACAAATAGGGCACAATGTATTAATTTTAAGAAAATTCAAATCTGTAATAATTAGAATTATGAATTTCTGTATGTGTTTTTTTTTTTTTTTTTACAGATATTTTAGCTGTATTTTGAATTTTGCACTTCATTGTGTTGTGTTTTAGGGTTAACAGAAATGTCTGTAAAAATGAATGGATGATCTGTTGGCAATAAATTACCTTTAAAAAAAAAAAAAAAGTGCTGTTGTACTGAACATCAGCATGGCTGTGTTTATTCTATTTTAATATTCAGTACAACAGCATGAGTGTGATAATGCTTTTCAATACAGTTAAACATGAAGTTAATAGCAAGTAAGTAACTTTTCAAACTAATGTTGGCCGTTTAGTTTGTATATACAAAAATAAAGATGTTATGTAAGGTGGGGTGCTTGAGTTTATATGGCACAGCAGAGCTCTAATAGTCTTACCTTAATGTTTGTGTGGGCCTAATTAATAGGATTAAGTTGCTCAGAGGTCCACTGAACTAAACATGGACATTTCTAGCTTAAAATGATAGAGCTGGTCAAAAAAAGGTAGTGTTTCTTACTAATGTTAAAAAGAAATAACTGTTTGTGTGTGTCCCATAGCTCCCCTGTCTCCTCCAGCACAAGAGTATGTCTTCAAACCACCTCAACGGCCAGACTTTGGCACAATGGGTAGGACAATCAAGCTTCAGGCCAACTTCTTTGAAATGGAAATACCCAAGTTGGAGGTGTACCATTACGACATAGATATAAAGCCTGAGAAATGCCCACGGAGAGTTAACCGGTAACATCTTTTGACTGAAACTTGGAATTTCAACTGATTGTTTGGAAGGACATTTATACTTACTTTTTTTTTTGTTAGTGAAATTGTTGAGCACATGGTCCAGCACTTTAAGACGCAGATCTTTGGAGATCGAAAGCCTGTGTATGATGGAAGGAAGAATCTCTACACTGCCATGCCTTTACCCATTGGAAGAGACAAAGTATGCACTAATAAAGTCATATTAAAGTCTGTGTTGGCTTTATGATGTTTATGTTTGATAGAGCAGTTACTGAAATATGTTATGCTCTTACTCTGTAACTTCTCAAAATGCTACATCTTTTCACATCATACTGATGTCCCGAACTGCTCTTTAGGTGGAGCTGGAGGTCACAATTCCAGGCGAGGGAAAAGACAGGAGTTTTAAAGTAGCTATCAAATGGGTGTCCTGTGTGAGTCTGCAAGCTCTACATGAAGCACTGACTGGACGGCTACCAAACATCCCTTTTGAGACCATTCAGGCTCTGGACGTTGTCATGAGACATTTGCCCTCTATGAGGTTAATGCTGGTGCTTTGTTAACTCTGTTTTTCATAAATCACCATTAGGGGGTGTCAAACTTCATCTTTCTGCACACTGTGCCATTTTAGAGCGTATTATTGCTGTGTCTGCAGGTACACCCCAGTCGGACGTTCATTCTTTACTCCCTCTGAGGGCTGCTCCAACCCCCTCGGTGGAGGAAGAGAAGTTTGGTTTGGCTTCCATCAGTCTGTTCGACCATCCCTCTGGAAGATGATGCTCAACATTGATGGTTAGTGTGCACTGATATCATTAATAAATGTTTCTTGAAAACTTCTTCTGCTAATCTTTGTTTTGTTATATTTATCTTTAGTGTCTGCCACTGCATTCTACAAAGCTCAACCTGTGATTGAGTTCATGTGTGAGGTTTTGGATTTTAAAAGCATCGAAGAGCAACAGAAGCCCTTAACGGATTCCCAGAGAGTGAAGTTTACCAAGGAAATCAAAGGTGATTCATTACAGTAATTAGTGACTTCCCAAATGGTTTTTATGGAATTTATTTGTATGATTTTCTGAACACTGCTTTATCTTCACCTGGCAGGACTGAAGGTTGAAATCACTCACTGTGGACAGATGAAGAGAAAATACAGGGTGTGTAATGTGACTAGGAGACCAGCCAGCCATCAAACGTAAGATCTTTCACAAAGCACAGTTCTTTCTGTATGAATGCCATTACATTTTATATTCCTCATTGTGATGATGCAGTGTTAAAGGCCGATGTATTTTGCTTGCCTCCAGGTTTCCCTTGCAGCAAGAGAATGGCCAGACCATTGAATGCACTGTCGCCCAGTACTTCAAGGATAAGTACAAACTGGTGCTGCGATATCCACATCTCCCATGTTTACAAGTTGGTCAGGAGCAAAAACACACCTACCTTCCGTTGGAGGTTGGTCAAGACCACATCTTATGCTTACTTTTTTCCACCCATCTCCCTCATTTATTTCTGTGAATGTCATTAACCTTTTTTTTTATTTTTTTTTATCCAGGTCTGTAACATAGTAGCCGGACAGAGATGCATCAAGAAACTGACAGACAATCAGACCTCCACTATGATACGTGCCACAGCCAGGTCTGCGCCTGATCGCCAGGATGAGATCAGCAAACTGGTATGTGCAGCTCTCTGTCCTTTTTCAGTCTTCTAAATCTCATCCACACCTCATGATGGATTTCATTTGGTTGTGACAGATGAGAAGTGCCAACTTCAACACTGATCCTTATGTGCGTGAGTTTGGAGTTATGGTAAGAGACGAGATGACTGAGGTCAATGGTCGGGTCCTTCAGGCACCTTCAATTCTCTATGGTGGAAGGGTAGGAACCTGTCCTGATCAACTTGACATTTGTCTTGCTGACCTTGTGGCTGAATCCCAATCTGGATGTGTCTTCCTAATTTGGTCGTGTCTCTCTGGCTTTTTCAGAACAAAGCAATAGCAACCCCAGTCCAGGGTGTGTGGGACATGAGGAACAAGCAGTTCCACACAGGGATTGAGATCAAAGTGTGGGCTATTGCCTGCTTTGCCCCGCAGAGGCAGTGTACAGAACTACTTCTGAAGTAAATCAGCTTTGACCTGGATCTGGAGAAGTTTTTGTATTTGGTGGTATTATTAAAAAAAGTTCAGACCCATACATGGTCTAACCCTTTTTTTGTTTTCTCTAGGGCATTTACTGACCAGCTCCGTAAGATATCGCGCGATGCTGGGATGCCCATTCAGGGCCAACCGTGCTTTTGCAAATATGCCCAGGGAGCAGATAGTGTGGAGCCCATGTTCAAACACCTCAAGTACACATACCAAGGCTTACAGTTGGTGGTGGTCATCCTACCTGGGAAGACTCCAGTTTATGGTAATTTAGCTCCTCTGTGTTTCTTTTGTGTTTTTGTTTGCAGTGTAATTTGTAACTCTCTAAACTGTCCATTCTCACAGCTGAGGTGAAGCGTGTTGGAGACACTGTTCTTGGCATGCCCACACAGTGTGTCCAGGTGAAGAATGTACAGAAAACCACACCTCAGACACTTTCCAACCTCTGCCTCAAGATTAATGTCAAACTGGGTGGAGTCAACAACATTCTTCTTCCACAGGGCAGGTGAGGGCAACTTTTCCAAAAGCCTTTGACATGCAGAAAGCTTATAGTGCGCGCGATAATCGTCCCGGTGTGCACAAGGCTTAAGGCACATTCTGAGTCTTTTTGATTGTTAGTTAACGCCTGGGCTGCTTTCCCATGAAATTTGACCAGGAAGTACAGCTACCTACTGTTTTTTTTTTTTGCATTGCTTTATCACTGTTTTTGTTTGTAGGCCCTTGGTGTTTCAGCAACCAGTCATCTTTCTGGGTGCAGATGTGACTCATCCACCAGCTGGAGATGGCAAGAAACCCTCAATTGCTGCTGTAAGCCTGACAAACCTCTGATATTTTATGGCCGATTATGTTAATTGCATAGTGCCAGGTAGCACTAATACCACAAGTGTGACCAGTCTACATCTTGTACATTTTTAGCCATATCATATAACCTCAAAAGCCTTTAAGGCTTTTAACATCTCCGAGCTAAGGGACCCTCTAAATAATAATAAAAAAGCTAACTTAAATTTTTAAAAAATATAATATTTAGGTTGTTGGCAGTATGGATGCCCACCCAAGCCGATACTGTGCCACGGTGCGGGTGCAGCAGCACCGTCAGGACATCATTCAGGATCTAGCCACCATGGTGAGAGAGCTGCTGATTCAGTTCTACAAATCCACACGCTTTAAACCAACGCGCATCATCTACTACAGAGACGGCATCTCAGAGGGCCAGTTCAACCAGGTAGGTTGCAGGCCTACACTTTTTGTCAATGCTTGCCAAGTGGTGCTGACACATTTCGTTTAATCTTCCTTGTACTGTTTTGTCTATGCAGGTTCTACAGCATGAACTGCTGGCTATTCGTGAAGCCTGCATTAAGCTGGAGAAAGATTATCAACCAGGCATCACCTTTGTAGTAGTGCAGAAGAGACATCACACCAGGCTCTTCTGCATGGACAGGAATGAGCGGGTTGGTTATGGCACATTTTTAGCTCTATTTAGGTGTTCCTTGAAAGAAAAAGGCTTCTAGTAATGAGTACACACAGTTTGTACAATTTTAAACTGCTCAGTATGTTTTAAGAGAACTTCCTGCATAGGAAGTATCCAGTGAGAAATGTGGTTATTGCAAACATCTTGTGAATCAGAAAAGCCTTTGCTCTTTTCATTAGTAAAGAATTATTTTTCTAGAATTTATTTTACAAGTACATGTCCTTGAGTAAATTATGTATGTTAAGTTATGACCTTTTCTGACTTTCTAATGTTTTTTTTTTTTTTTTTTAAATGTCTTTTAAATTTGCTGTTTATATTCAAGGTTGGAAAGAGCGGCAACATCCCTGCTGGCACCACAGTTGACACCAAAATTACTCATCCGTCTGAGTTTGACTTTTATCTTTGCAGTCATGCCGGAATTCAGGTACCATTGAACATTTCAAATAGGATCCCAATGAAAGGTTGATAAAGAATTCATAGACTCACTATATAAAGTGAGTGCTTATGAATGCTTTATTTCTAGCAATCAGGTACTTTAACAAGTGGAGGTTAATTGGCTTTAGTGTTCGTGATCATTATGCTTGTCTAAGTGTGTGATTTCAGTTCTTCATAATTGCTGAATCTCCACAGGGAACCAGCAGGCCGTCCCACTATCACGTGCTGTGGGACGACAACCATTTCACCTCTGATGAGCTGCAGGTCCTCACCTACCAGCTGTGCCACACCTACGTGCGCTGCACCCGCTCTGTCTCCATTCCTGCACCAGCCTACTACGCCCACCTGGTGGCGTTTCGTGCTCGCTACCACTTGGTTGACAAAGAACATGACAGGTACTGGGTCTTACTGCGATTAACATGATAACATGTAGAGAAGGCTATATAGCCCTGTTTGTTATACGTTTTCTATGGGCTGCAACATCCTGTCTCTGCTGTATACAGTATGCTAAGATAAGTCCTTAATGCTTATAACTCACAGCTTATTTATTTCCTTACACAGCTGGATGTGACTTGTTTTTTTTTAATGCAAGACCTTATTCATTGTGCATTATTATACCAATAGATCTGATTATGTGTGTTGTATTTGTTTGCCGGCAGTGCTGAAGGCAGTCACACATCAGGTCAGAGTAACGGCAGAGACCAGCAAGCCCTGGCCAAAGCTGTGCAGATCCACCAGGACACACTGCGCACCATGTACTTCGCCTGAACATAGCCAGAAACAAGCCCTACATCCTGAAAACAGCACGGTGTGTGTGTGTCTGTGTGTATTTTTATGTGTTTGCCTCAATTGTATAAATGAGAACCTTCAAATGGGGAAAAAACCCAAGAATCGCCATGCTGTTAGGTTTCCAATTGCCCACGTAGTCCATTTCCGTACATACTAAATATCCATGATTTTTAGAACTGTAATACGTGAATTTATTAATTTATCTTTTTCTTTGGTTTGGAGGGCATGGTTATGTGTGTCTGTTGCACATGTGCATGTCAGATTAGAGGTTAACATGTTTACATATAGTCAATCCAAAAATTCAGACTATTTTTACACTGAAAGTTACATTTGCATCCGAGTGGGCTTGATTCAATACTATTGCCAAGGCTGGTGATGGAGACTGTCGAACAGTAGTTTTTACAAACTCATCAAACCAATGGGTTCGGGTTAGTTTAGGACAACACAGATCAGGTTTAGGGGATGTGGGTATGCAGTTTCCACAGCTAAATTATTTATCAGCAAAAGCAAGTGCACTGACCAGATGGGGACTTCAGGACAAAAGTACTTATCCTGTTTTGTTTCATTTATTTGTGCTAACATACATTTTTTATCATGGTGTCATTTATTGTTCAGTCCAGGGCTCAGTCATCCTACTGTACCTGTCCGCCAATGACATGATCGACCGAGCACTATCATGTGCTTGTATCATGAAATTTGAACACAGTATGTGCAGAATCAAGAATGCATTTGGAAGTGAGAATGTAGGAATTGTTCTGACAATCAGTTTTCTGGCGCTCTGCCGCACACATGAGACTGGTTCTCATTAGTGACGCGCTCCGTTTACCTGTGCCAGGGTTCTCAGTGCGGAAACAGCTCCAGAATATGGATAATTGTCATGAAAAGTACTAATATCTTGGGGCTCTAAGTATTTAGATGATGAGATTATCTTGTACGTACTTTAAATTCTACTGCCATGAGCATTTCTTTTATTTGTTCGCTGATTGTAACGTAAGGTTTCAGTGGGTTGGGTGTATGAGTTAAATTTCTAAAACGTGTCAAAAACACCCTTAAGGAAAAAATACCATCACCTTTCACTTTAAGCATCTGTTCTGACATTTTTATTATGATGTTGTCAAATCTTCCCCACATTGAAACGCAAAGCCAGTTTTGTGCTGAATATTGGGGAATCTGGAGCCCTGGGATTTGCTTGGTTCTGTGCGCTGTTTCTAACGGTGAAGTTTGAATGTGCTACGCTGGCCAGGTTTAAAAGCGGTCATCGCACTCCAGCTGGCCATACAGGCAATCGAGACTTTTCTTTTTTTTTTAAAGAATAATACACATACAGTTGCATTGACACAAAGTCAGAGTGAAAATTTCATACAAATTTCAAATGCACCTTAGTAGTTTTTTTTTTTTTCTTTGTAAACCAAGCTTATAACTTAGAGGTTTTCATGAGAATATTACAAATCCCTTTTTTAACATTCAAATTACATTCTTTTTAGATATATAAACCTAAATTAATTTTGTGAAATCTAGTTTTTCTTTTTGAGACTTTTTGTAGAGTAACAGGCCGAGTAGTTGTTAGCTTTTTGTTGCTTAACCGAATAGAAAATGTATTTAGTTTGAATCCAAACTTAGTTCAAATTGAAGCGCAATACATTGTATGTGTCGGTAAACTGTTTTCATGTAAACAGTCTTATCCCTTCTAAAGCATATCATCATGATGTGTAGTGATTGATTGAGTCTTGTTAGTGAAATAACTGTAAGATCACTTCCCCAAATAATTCTTCAGTTTTAACTTGAAATTCTTGAAATTTTTAACCATCTTTTTCTAACTATGCATTCTTAACCAAGAGATTTTAGTGGTATGTTTGTGTATATGAATTATAAATATAGAACATTTGTAATGTAGTCATTTTCATGCTGGGTACTTTTAGTAGTGTAAATAGTGCAAACCCTGTACCCACTGTAGCAGTATTAGCTTACAAAATACTCTATTTTTATTATCAACAATTGGATGTTCTTTCTATGGCTCTCAATTATTCCTGTTAGCCGAACAAGATTACATATGTACTTGTAGTTAATGTCCTACCATAACTGAAGCACAATAGGACATTATAATTGTAGGTGCTAGAGTTTATTCTTGAGACTACCATTTTTTTAAGTATCTTGTTTAACTTCAACTTTTAAACAAGAATCACAGACTGGTCAGAGAGCTTAATGGGTATGTTTGGTTTTTGATCTGGTGAAATCTATGACTTTTGACCCTGAAACCCTGACCCTTCTTTTTCTAAATCCAACAGACTGTGTATAAGGGGCATTTTAATTTATCTTCAAATACTTGACTAGAGTTATGTTGTTATTTGGCGCTGATCTCGTAACTCGTGAAAGTAGATGCACTTTGAAGAGCAGTGGACACAGACCCTTAGTTCCGGTGCTTATCTGGATCATGAGTGTGTTATCTGGGTGCAGTTGTGTGGAAATGACTAGATGTCCTACCTCCTGTTACCTGTTACTTGTGTTATGGTAACATTACCGCACTGGTCATTTCCTCATAATTGCACTAATGGGGAATGTCGTCTTTTCATCCCTCTGAAAGTGAAAGTGGTAGATGTCACAGAAAATCTTGAACACTTGCTCTAAAATGGCATCTTTAATTCATATTTGTTCAGAGGCCATACCTGCTGGCATTTAGCCTAGATGATTTAGCATTGCTGTTGTTTTATGATGGTAGTTTTAAGCTATGTATTCAAAGCTACAATTGAGTGCTGCAAGTTTCAGACATGAAGCCAAAAGATCATTATATTCTTTCCGTGAATAAGTGGCTTGATGCTTTAAATGTTCTCAGCAAGCTATAAAAATGTTCATAAATGTATAGTGTGAATTTCCGTTTTATCATTTTCTGTCCTTTTTAAATTGCAGTGCATTGTCGCTTTATCCATATACTTGTTTGAATGTGTGTCACATAGGTTTCCTGTTTTTCTTAACTTTAGGTTTGAATAATAGTAGGCTATTTTATCATACAGCAACAAAAACATGAGATGAAATCATTGCTCAAACTACTACTTATAGATATTCTCTGGAACAATCAGATTTTTTTTAAACCATTCTTTTCATCCTCATGACCTGCTTTAGTTAGATGTTTTTAGAAGTTACTGAGTTTTAGTATTTTAACCTTTTTAAAAATTCTGCACCTTAGTCACAGGTCTACAACATACGCAATTTCTCAAGTATGAAATATGAGATGTTTTTGCACTATATCAGAAGGCGTGTAACTAATTTGCATACTGGTGGACAGATTGTAATGTTATAGAGAAGAACCATCAATATTAGAATAGTCTTGGCCTTGTTTCTTTGTTCATATCCAGTCATATTGGCACTAATCTATTAAAAGTTAACAGACGTAAGAAGGTCTTGAGTTCTTACACTATGCAAAAATTCATTTCCATTCAGAGCCGTCACTCAGTTTATATATAGGGGTCAAATTTTGTCTGTGAAATCCGTCATGCATATCAAATTGAGTTAGGGACTTTGAGTGAATGCAAGTCTCCCTTGTGTGTGTGTGTGTGTGT